TTTTTTCACACCCTGCTGTTTTCCCCTGATAATTTAATGTCCATATTCCTCTCTTCAGGAATTAAAACCCTCTGAAGTTCATTCTCTGCCTTTGTTCTCTATGAGGCTGCACAGTGGGGCTGGGAAACACACACCACACTCCGTAGGTCCTCTGTTGTATTGCCTACTGAGTAACCAACCAATTACCAAGTTCAAACACGCAGCTATCACTCTGTTTTTGCTGCTATCCTCTGATTTGGCCAGTGTTTGGACCAGACTTTTTTCCTCATTCTTTTCTAAATGAGCTTCTAATGGAGATGGATGTTGATCACGGCGTGTCACTTGTTCTCAGAGATGACGAGGCAAATCTTCAAACTTTAAACTCCTACTTGTGGAATATTGCCAGAAAATGTATGTTGACAGCATCGTGTGATTGGTGCATAGAGTAAAAGGGAATTGCTTTCTGTGTGTTTTCACTGTGTCTGTAAGTCACAAAAAGGACTGATGGACTTGCTAACCTAGATGTAGCCGAAATAAAAACAGGAAGAGCACGTTAGAAAACGACACAATTACACTAAAAGAGAATCTTTTGAGCATGTGACTTTACATGAATGTCTCTCTTCCTCACAAAATCACATAGATTCATCTAGAAAGAAAAGTCTGTTCGGAATGTTCTTGGATTCAAAGGCCTTTAATTGGCAGTGTGCTACACAACACAGAAGAAAAACCATGAGAGAAAACTTTTCTGAAGTATGCATTTGACGACTGACCATCATAATAGAAAACATTGCCAGCGTCCATTCCTTAGACTTCACCCAAAGGCTAGAAAATTGTAGTGTGGCTGATAAAATGTTTCACACAGGGAATTTAAATAAAGGTCAAGTCAACAAAATGTTCAGTACAGAGAGCTTAAGTTGTTCAACAAGAATGCTGATCCCCAGATAGTTCTCTCCATTGTCCCCTTCAACACGTTCACAAGCTCAACAACAACACAGGCCTTCCCTGAGTGCAGCAGGCCTTTTTCTTCTTCTTCTTCTTCTGTGTGGTTGAAAATGTGCATTTTGTGACAGGAAGGCGGCTCATGATTTCCCCAGTGAACCATATGGCCTGTAGAGATCTACCTGTCAGCACACCTGAGCACCTGAGCACAACCCAGCCTTTCCTGCTGACTCCGCCGCCTCTGTTTACAGACGAGACATGAAAAATGCAACAGAGGTCTTCGTCATACGGTGTGTTGTTGGGGTCAGGGGAAATCACCTTAGCCAAGACTGTGTAGCGCCAGCATCTTTGACAGGATGATATTCGTTTAACAAAAATGCCTTCCTCACACAGTGACTGATGTGTCTCAGGAAGTACATTTAAGTATTTTGTTATGCTGAAAGCGCCAAAGATGGATTACAGGAAAATCAGGCAGCACTGAATAGACCATTGATTTGATAAAGCCGAGTTTGAATGCTTATAAAGCTATGTTGACAGCCGTAGGGAGTGTGACAGCATCTTCAATTAACAATTGATGCTTAAAAGAACATCCGTCTGTGAGTTATTCATGATTTCTTATGCCAGTTGTTGTCATAAATCCATATGTAGGCAAGTTAATAGATTTCCACTGCTGTATGACAAGATTTCTCCTTCTCCATCTGACCCTGCCATATGCTAAAAGAAGTCTCTTTTGTCACTGTCTAATTACTGTACTGTATATCCAGGTGTTTTCTTTTATTTGAGCGTACACCTGTGAAGAGAAATGACCATGAAAATATCGCAGAAAATATTAACTAACTGAATTTTTTACATTATTGAAAATGTAATAATATCATGAGGTAAGTATTATATAGTATTATATTATGAGCCTTGGGTTTCTGAAACCATACAATAAAATGTCTTTGTTAGAAACCTTTACATAAGATATTGTTTTAAATTAATATTATTATTCACAGATAACAATATTCTGTCCTTTGTCATAATACAATTGATATAATAAAGCCATACAAATTATATATAATCTGTAGCACAAAGTACACATATGCTGAACATCTAGGATTTCTAACTAAAAGGATCACTCTGTTATTGTGTTTTAACCACACGATTTATATTTACATACATTACATATACTTCTACAACATATTACTCCGGATAATCAGTAGTTTGTTTGATTGTTTCTGAATTATTAGTATACATTCATCTTATTATTTTGAATAAAGCTGGTTTTAATTGTAAAAATATGTTCTGCTTAAAAAGCAAAATAGCTTATTTATCAAGTGTTAACCTATTCATTTTAAGGTGAAGATAACATGGCAAACATTTAAACTGGAAATGGAGTCAGTCTTTCTCTGAAAATGGACTTTATAACTTAGTTCAGGTTGCTTTCTCTAGTGTTAGTCTTAGCTATTTATTTAAGAGTGACATGTTTCCAGTCCTGTGTATCTTTGTTGTGGTAACCCTTTTGATTAGATTTGTATTGTACCGTTATCCAGTGGTTTTGCCGAAATCGTAGTATTTTTGACTTAGATTCTCATAATGTAATGTAGATGCGATTTTCCCACCACCATGACACAAAGAAGATCATATTTATCTCTCATCCGAACCTGAAGAGACAAACGAGCCGTGCCAAGTGAAACACAGATTAACATGCTGTCGTGTTTGCAAGTTCATACGATGACAGAAGGGTGGATTTGATGCCCCCCATCCTTCACTACACCCACCCAGCCGCATATTAACTACATCTCCTGCCACTGCCAGCGTATTGATTCATCGCCCCCCACCTCTTTTCTCTATTCTTAGGGATAAAATGTCACAACATGAGCATTTTACTATTTAGTGTGAAAGAATAAGGAATAAGCCACAGTCACCTCGCACGCTATTAAAACATCAAGTTCACATATTGCAGTTTGCTCTTTGTACTTTATTAACTTGAGAACTGTGATGTGTGGCGGACAGGTGTGAATATAAAAAACAAAGGAAAAATGAGAGAAATGGTAGATGTGTTGCTGTGTTGCTATACTGAGCTGGAATATAAATCAACACAGAGAGAATTATGCTCTTTCAAACTTATATACAAATCTACAATTGTCCTGGATTTTGACATGTTTCCAGTTCATTGCATTACATTGATATTACACTTTTATCCAAAGTAATGTAAAATAATTACATTCAACCATGAAGATACAAACTCATTAACCTGGAAAGCAAAGGTAAAGTGAGAATACAATGTTATGGTCTCAGAAAAGACCTCTGTTGAAAATACCATGTCAATACACATTTATTTGGTAATGCTTTCGATTGGAACATTTTGGTACACCTAAAGGCAATGTCACAAAATGAACTAAATTATAGAATAAACATGTGGTTAGCTGTGTCATTAAAACATACAGTGTGGCACTGTAAGTAAAAACTGTATGTATGTCCAAGCCTTACTCCAAGTAAAAATGGCAATGGATGCAAATTTGGTTTGAACTCAGAACTGAAAGTTGAAACATTTGATCAAACTCTTTATTGAGGAAAACAAAACAAGATCTGATTTTCCTTGTGACAGCGGCATCAACAGTAACACACGTCAATGGGAGATGTTGAAAAGTCATCTCTCTCCATGTTTGGGGTTCTTTTGCTAAAAAGACAAATGAGGAACTTGAAGTAAACTAAACTACATTGGTAACTATTGCTAGTTATTAAAAGGCAGAAGACAACATTTCAATTAGCTAATGTTAGTGAAAGCTAATAAACTCAGCGAGCAACAATTTTCCTTTCAGCCTCTAATATCAACAGTTGCCAGCAAGACATTTCAAGTCTGCATGTTTTTTCGTCTTTATTTCGTTTAACCAAAAACCAATAGTTTTAAAAAAGGACTAAACTGCCCTTAACATGATCAGCGGTAAGTCCGCTCAGTGTTGGCTATGCCATTTTTTTCCTATGGTAGCTATATCCTTGGCACGGTGCACCGCTCAGTATTGCTACCGAGTGCTGTGCTTTAATTTCTAATGTATTCAACTTTTCCGCGACGTATTTTCAAGCGACACAAGCAAGAAGGGCAGTTAACCATAAAACACAGTTGTCTAGCTGCCTTCACCACAGCGCTTTGCGCCTTACTTAAGGGTGAGTGGAAACTAAATGTAACGGTAAATAAATGTTAACGGCATCATTATGTGAGAATGGAAGGCTTAACAGTAGAAGTAGGCTTAGTATTTTTTGTTTAATTGTTCAAATTGTATTCACACAAAAACTTTTGCCATCTGAGTCTTTAAATATATGAATATCTAAACAACAACAACAACGTTTTTCTTTCCATGTCTTCATTGTGACTTGATTTGACCTTTTGTGAAAGAATATCAACTAATATATGTAATTGCCTTGTGTTCATGTATTTCTCGTGGCATTTGCTTTGAACAAATATGATCTAAAAAGACCGGAATTGGAGGCATTTAGTGTTACATGACAGGTCGCATGCTGTTGATTACCCTCATCAGATCATATGAAATGGACCTTCCCACAGTCTGTTATGATATTATCCCATGTCAGCTCCACTTATCTTCAACAAACAGTCATATTATTGCTTGCATGAGGACTCAGTAGTTGTGACCGGCCGAGGTCATGGAGATGTTCACAGTGAAGTTTTCAAATGAGTCTGAAATGTGACTTAATACAATAAAAAAGTATTTACATAGCAGCAAAGCTGAAGTTTGTTGTCTGCATTTCTTTCAGCTATCTGAAATATTTCATACTAACATTCATTTTAAAATTATTCAGTAAGGAAGTTGCCTGGAAGTGACCCAACAAACAGGTTTTATTGCACCAGGAAGCTTTTTTTCTCTCGGAGGGAAGCAGCATTACCAACTTTCCAAACCGGGTGTAAAAACTAGAGCGTGACAGCTGCATTTAAATATGAAATAGCTGCAGATTTGGTTTCAGACACCTTGTACTGTGTGCAAACAAAGCCACCGATTCCACCAGAGAAAAGAGAATGCATTTAAAGCACCTCTTTGTCGTTGTTCAGAACTGTGTTCCCTTTGTTTCCATTTGTCTCTTTTTAGGGGGAAAGAATGGGATGAAATATTTTTAAACGGTAATTACCTGGCTGGGATCCGACATGCAGGGATTAATGGGTGAGTGCGGAGCACCAGGTTCGGCTGTGTGTTGGAAGGTAAGGGGGTTGTGTGGGTGTGTGTGATGGAGTAGCGGTGGTGGTGGTTGTGGCAGTGGCGGGGGGTGCCGGATACGGAGAACCAAAGACTGGCAGAATTCTGCTGCAAGTGTCTTTTCTTTATCCAAGCTCAAGTCACTGCTTCACGCCAAGTCCGTCACAAATGAACAAGACAGATTTAGCTCTCCCGCCTCATTCCACTCCCTCCAAATCCATTTGCTAAACGTCTGTTTTCATGCCTCCTGAAACAATATTGTTACATGTTTGGGGTTATTTTTACCTTCTTCGCTCTGGCTGGCCCACTCTGTCGCACAAGTCGAATTTCTACCGAGGAGTTAAGCAAATCTGTAATCGTGCTTTGTTCCAAACCCTTGTTTGGCATGTCATTGACAATCGTAAGCAATTTCCGATCAATTCATATCACCACAAAGCACTCGAAACTGCCTCCTAGGCCAAGCTCAAATCGCTGAAGTCAAAGACTGCTGCAGTGCACTTTATGCTCAGAACTCAATTAGGCATGTCCTTGGAGGACAATATCTCTGGATTCTTTAAGTCGTTTGGATAGCGCAGAGAGGCGATGAGGTGCTCTTACAGATGGTGTGCGACTCAGGCTGTAATTAAACAGATCAGTGTCTAATACACAGTCTGATATCCAGCAGCAGTGCAGCCAAATCTCTGAGGGAAGAACTTCCTGAGGTTCTCGGGAGGTTCTCAAGGTCGCTGAAGTCACTGCAGATGCTACAGAACTTATGTACTCTGAAGAGTCACAGCTTAGTTACTTAAAATAAATGTTGTTTGCTACAGCAGTGAGTTGGGCAAACAGAGTGTTATATTTATAGTATAAAATGTGTTCGAGCATCCTGATTCCAGTGTGTTTTGAAATGACTTTCATTCGAAATATAAATATCTGTCATTTTTACAATAAACATGTGAAGATTTGTTATGTGGAATGCAAAGCCAATTATCTGCAATTATCTTTTATAATTAAGGTTGCAAAGGTTAGAAATAATGTTTCTGTTTAAGAGATTGTTTTAATGTTGTAGGGAGTTTTTGGGAGAAGCTAAGTGGTTTAGTTTTGCCATTTTTCTACTGATATTCTAATACAACATAATATATTGTCAGTGCTTGAGCCAGCAATGTGGACAATATGGTCAAATCTGCATAGAAATTAGATGACGCCGTCATATGGTGAATAATCTGTCTATTTATCTCTCAAACACATTTCTATTCACTGCCTTACCATATTTGTACATTAGCCGGCCACTGCTAGCTTCGTCAGTTAGTTCAGCGAGACGCGCAACATTTAAACTGCTGCTGCTTAGGGAAAATAATGTGTTCTGTAACAACTAAGAACTTGTTTCTGTGTTGCAAACCTTTTAAAACACTTTTACCATAGGACAGGTGAGCCTCCTCTTTCTGTAACCCCTAGCCAAAAAGTAGTTCAAGCTGATTTTTTAATGTTTTTTGGATACACAGCACTTCAGTTCGATACTGAAAAAATTCAAAAGGTGCCAATTAATGAGACTGTATTTTACTTTATCAAATCAAAGTGTAAAGAAGATATAAATACATTCAAACTGCAAGTTTAGTACAGCTTTAAATCTAAAGGATTTTTTTCTTTATGAATCATTCCATTTGAATGTTATTTAGTTTTTTAAAGGTGAAAGGCAAGGGTGCGAGTCAAAGCTGATAAAAGCATTTACCGAAATAAATGCCCATAGAGTGAATGATGCACTTAAAATATCAAGGCTGTAGCTAAATGTATTTTTCTCTATTATTCCAAGCTAATGAATCAAAGTCATTAATAATTTTATGTCGTTTTTGTCTTTTTACTTGCTTTTTTTATTTCCTTGGCAGAGTTTGAAAAGACCAGACAAAGCTGCTGAACAGAAGGAAATCAAAGCGCATTTGGTTGGACCGTTAAGACGTGTGAAATTTTCTCGCCTCTCATTTGAACAGAGTCCAGGAGAAGTTTCAAGGTTGCTGAATTCTTCCTTAAATCAACGAAGCAACTGCTCAGTGGTTATTATATATCAGTTGCCGAAATTCTGAGAAACGTTTGATGGAAAAAAACGTCATATGATATTTAGGCTGTTTTATACAGCATTTTAAAGTTCAACATGTGTTCCTTTTTCAAAATAAAGTTAAAGTTTAAAGTAATTTGTTGGTGTTTTCTAACCTCCATGGCCCAAAAAGCAGGTTTTAGTAATACAAAGTACAGCAAGTTTATTTCTTCTTTGTCAACAAAAACTACTGTTGTTCATCACAGATGCAGGATAAATATTCTGGATTTATATCCGGTGATAAAGCAGCAAGTCTCATAACATGCTCCAATAACCTACCTGCTCTAATTACAACAGCAATCGTAAAATGTCAGAATGAAAAGCAATATAAACAAAGCATAACATTCAAGGCGACTATATTGCACTGATTAATATAGCAGCAATGATGTTTGAAGTCATTCCTGTATTAAGTGTAGATGCCCCAGAATAAAAAAACAACATAAAAACTTGTAAACTACATTTCCAAAGTGTTTTTACTTCCTCTATCAATCTATACAATTTGAAACACGACACTTTGTTAATGAAAACAAACAAATAATGACAAAGTGATTAATTCAGACAATGGAAAAGACAAAGTCTGATTACAAAAAAGGAGACAGATATTTTTGTGAGCAGATAGGCTGTTATCTGACAGTCTGGATGATAAGATCACACTGAAGCCTTAAGAAATAATATGTGCTAGGCAGGGTGAATCCAGATCAGCATTAATGGGATCGGTGCCATATGCCAGAATGAATCTAATAGACTGATAATCTTCTTCTCACTGCTGGCGAAACCAATCTCTTTACGATAAGGAGCTCACATTTAGGGCTGATCAGCTGCATCGTCACATTGGACCAGAACGTGAAAATATCTCCCATTAAGATCAGAAAACAACAAGGAGAAGCCAGACAACCGAAGAGAACACGGGAGATGATCAGATACACTCTGCGGAGTGATAAGATCTACGTCTGCTTTGAGCTGTTAAGGCACCTTTTGTCACGTCTGACTGTCAACACGATGTTTTGTCAACTTGAATAAAAAAAAACATCATAAAATAGATTCAGATTCTTAACTTAAAAGTACTAATACCACACCGTAAAAATACTGGATTTCAAGTAAAAGTATACTGCATCGAGAATTAAAGAATTAAAGTATGAAAATGTGAGTAAAAGTACTCATTGCACAAAAGTATTATTAATCTACTGTACATCTGCAAAGTAGTTGGTAAATAAAGATATAAAATAAATGTAGTGGAGTAAAAAAAAAAAAAAAAAAGCCTAACATTTTGGAAGTAATGGGTATAAATTAGGATAGCATGAAAATACTCGTGAAGTACAGTACCTGAACGTTGTACTCAAGTACAGTACTTAAACGAGGTACATGTAATTAGTTACATTCCACCACTTTAAAATTGTGTTGTATACTGTAGTCTCACATTCTATAGAAAGCACTATGGTTTAATTTAACTTGATAAACAACACAGGTAACATTTATAGATTCATGTTTTCTCTTCCCTTAGTACCTTCAGGTTCACTTTCACATGTGTTTACATTGCTGACCCTTATTTGACATTTTCTTTGATATGATCAAACAGAGCAGCTTCCTCCTTCCCTCTCTCCTTCTCCATTATGGAAAAAATTATTAACATCTGCTGCACAGACATCAGGAGAAGTCATGCATGCCTTAATGGCCCCTTGTTTAGTCATTTATGGGTAAGCATGTCATTATTTCAGGATTTATGATCAAACAGATAGAGAATGCATTCTCCCCGAGTTTCACCTAGCAATTATTTATTTTGATTTTTATGGCAACAAAGTTTCCTATCCTCCCTCACTATCCAATTAATGCTGATGATCAAGCATGTCTTAGTGCTTTAGCTTTTATTTTTTATCTGCGTTTATGTCCTTTGATGGAATGATGGATCATATTGTGATGAGCCTGTTGTGGAAATAGCTTAAAGTGAAATATACAGTATATCCAAGGACAGCCAGATAACCTTAAGTAAGTGAATGAACACAAAATCAAAGCATGTTTCATAGTTCAAGGTTTTGATAACATGTTTTATGCTTTATTTAAAAGTTTAGTCAAGTGACTAAAAGCATATTTTGTCTTTTACTCTTAGTAAGTGTTATTTCTGCCACCCTAACTGTATTAATTATCCAAACGTACAACAACCAGGTATCTTTTGTTACTGGACCTCTAACTGCAAAAACGATATGCAATACATATTAGTACATACTATGTAAAATAAGTGTGTACTATGAAGTATGGGTTCTGTAGTTTAAGCCTTCTACCATTTACTGGCACTTATTCCAAGGTGCCAAATTTAAATTTAGAAATGACTAAATATACAGCATGAAGAGAGGCCATCCTGAGGTGACATTAGCAAGCAGCACGTTAGTGATATGTACCTTTCTTCTCACACACATGCATGCACATACTTACACCCACGCACACTCACAACACTCGCACAAATTCCTGCAGTCACAGCATCTTGCACAAACCATTCCTGACATTTTGCCCCTCTGCCTGGAGCAACCCTGAGGAGCCTGCCTCAGATCAAGGTCATCACATCACTCAGCGTCCCCGAAGCTGCGGCTAGAACAGTCAATGCATGTTGTAAGGCCTACGAAAACAGCCCTTACATCTACAGATGACGAGTTTTGCTCCAAAATGAGAGTTGACATGAAGTGCACCTGCTGCTTCATAATGATCGATAGCACAACATCTCAAACAAATGACTAGGTGATCTCAATGGACAACATAAGACTATTTTCATAAATGTTGTCTGCAATTCTGTAGGCTCCAATCATTAAGGTGGTTGTATCTGATACCAAAATGAACACAGCATTTTTTAAATGCCTTCCTCAAATCGTCTTTGGCAAGTTTCAAAGCAGAAAGCCTCTCTGTGACTTGAACTGAAATGAGAATGCACAGAGGGTGTGTGGGGGGTTTCTTCGCAAAAGCCACCATCTGGTGTCAGCGCGTGGTGTTGCTCACCATGACCAATTGTGTCATTAGATTATTGAATAATTAGAGGAGGGATCATGTCTACCCAGAGAACATGGCTTTCAAGTGTATTAGTGTGTGTTTGTGTGACTGGGGTCTTGATCACAAAGAGCGGCATTATATCTGCAGAAATATGTTTGGGGGGGGGTTTCAACTCTGAGGAAAGTTTGAGAGAAACAGACTCATGCAACATTCATTAACTCAAAATGACAACACAATTTGTTAGAATATGTGTAATGCTTTTTTTTGGAAAACATTTTGTAGTACAACCCTAATGTGAGAATCTAAATCACAGTTTCCCTGGTAGTCCTCTTATCTCCCCGTGAATAGAGTGTCCCTGTTAAATCGAAGGAGGACTTTAAATGAGTTGCTCTGGGCAGTAAGGAATCTTTTATTAATGAAGGTTGCACTTTTTCTCGGGTGACATCGTCTCCAAAACGTCAAGGGAATGCATTTGAAGCCACCCACTGCTACAACACCAGGCTGAGTGGGTTTTCATCCACTTTAGATCATATTTAATTGTTTAACTTTAGGAAACTTTGGTTGTGGATTTTACTTTGTAGCCAGGTGGGACAGCATAATGAAAATAAGGATATGTAAATCCAAGGCTATTCTAAAGAAAATGAGAATAGCCTAGGTAAGAGGTTCACAGATTTAACTGTGAGTCAGCCACAGATTTAGGATGCAAGAGACACCAAAATCAGATATCCACCATCTAAAAAATGTGAAACCTTTAGCAATCTGATTAACTACTGAGTCTACTCTTAATGTTACGTGTTGTCATTGGATAATTAATTCCCACATCCCAGAACTGGAATAATAATTCGGGCCTGGAAGCATCTGTGATGAATTTCTACACATCCACAAGCAAGCATCAGGTTAAAAGAAAGCATCAGTTTGTATGCACGTTTAATCCAGAGTTAATTGAATACAGCAACACTGGGTTTTGAAAACTGTTCACCTCTTCACATATTTTCACAGTACAGAACTTTGAATATTTCATACTATAATCACTATTCACAAAACTGTTTAAGGACAAAGTTAATACATTGATGCACTGATAGTAAATCACAATTTCCCAAATTATATTATTGGATCGATTACTTTGTATTTTTCCTTGAAATACATTGAATACATGAGAGCAAGCCCCCAGGAAGTGCGCCGGACTCTGAGGAAAATATTCGTTGTGGCCAAACGGCGATACTACACTTCCGTATCAGTCGCTGGGCCCGGAAATACTTTTTGCCATTGACTAAAATTGGGAAAGAGACATCTGTAAATCGTTGGATAATTTTTTTTAAACTACCCAGTATGAACATTTGTATAGCCCTTATTAAAAACATTCGGTCCTCAAATTGTCAAATGTGATAATAACGTTATTCTGAGAGTTATTTTCCTCGGCATTATGAGCGCGCTAACCCACGGGACCGCGCCGCCCGGCACGTTCATGTGACTTGTTCAGTACTACATGAGTTTTACCTTTACCCATGGATGCACCATGGGCGAAGTTTGAACTTTAAGGTTGGGGGTGCCAAAAAAAACTACAAATGTAATGTATAGCTATAGGCTGCAACACAAGGATTCATACATGAAAATTGATCAGGATAGCCTACAGGCTACTGCAGGTGTGTTTTCATAACTAATATGCCCAATAGATGAAATTACTATGGCAGCGGAACTCGCCGCAAAATAAAACGGCTGCTGCGGCACATACTGCTGCTATAATTAGGCTATAACACAGAGGTCTGTAGGATCAATGTTCCCCAATGCTCACACACTTTTTAATGAACTGTATAGGCATACTAACTAATAACTGTAGGATATAAGCACAGCAGTTTTATCACATTTTGACCTAATTTCAGCGATGAAAACAAAGCCAACCAACAAAGTAATGACTTTTGTTCACCGTCATCTAGTGATTATGATCTCCATGCATTCAGCGTCTCTGCCCCACAACTGTCAGCAGCGGCCGCTAGCAGGACCGAAGCATGTGAGCACAACGCAAACGGGAGGATTTGGAGGATTTTGGTTTGAGCGTGGAGCGGTGTCTGCTGCTTACTGCAGCTGGCTATCCCC